TCACAGCCACTGACTGTGATCCAGTGACTCATTAAAAACTGCAAAAGGGGGATGTTTGAATTATATCATTGCTTCTTCACACATCATCCTGCCTATTTTTTTTTTACAGTATTTCAAGGGAATTAAGTATGTCCCACTAGTTTTTAGATTGCGTTTTTCTGCGCAAATAGAGATAACTACCATCCTCACACATAACTCTTGTCTCCAGCTGCCCGCTGACCTCCTATCCTAATGAGGACTTTTCCTTTGCTCTCGTTCCTACTGCTCTATACCACTTCCCCCAACTCCTTTGTCTAATAATATCCTACCCATTTTTCAAGCAGCTTAGTTGTCACCTTAGTCTCTAGTTGTCAGTCGTCTTCTCTGCACTTCTGAGGCACTTTGTTCCTCCCTCTAACATACCATTTACCAAGTCGTGAAGTAATTATTGGTTACGGATCTGCCTCCATAACTGGGCAGAAGCCTTACCATATTTACCGCTGTATCCACACCATCTGTTGATAGTTGGCTATAGCACACTACAGGCCATTAGGGGAGGGGCTGTTTTTGGATGAATGACGCCAACTTGCTGCGTGACAACAGACAAGTTACTTTCCATTTCTGGTCCACGGTATCCCCCTCCATGAAAAGAAAGGTTTGACAGAATCACTTGAGCTGAGAGGAGGGTGCGCAGAGAGGATGCTTAAAAAAATACCAATGTCTGTGTTTAGAAAGTGATCAAATCAGACACTCTGGAAGTGAGGCCTAAGCATGTCTAGCTTTTAAAAGGTCTCAAAGTGACTTCGGTGTGTTTCCAGGTTAAGAACCACCGGGACCGAACTTTCATCTAGCTCTGCAGTTCTGTCACACGCGCTGGTGCGGCTTCCTCGTCGCTCCACAAACGCGCACGGGCCGGGCCACGTGACAGGTCTCAGCTGGTCTCTGGGGCGACTCACCCGCTTCAGGTGCAGCTCCCGGAATTTGCGTAGTCTCTGTTCGCGCTTCTGAGCGGCCAGCTCCTCGGCCGCCGCAGGGGGCTGCTGCTCCTCTGCGCCGTCCACCGGCACCTGCGGCGGAGGACAGGCTGGAGGCGGGGCCGGTTCGGCTTCTTCCCGGACGGCCCAGGTGATTCCCCGCGGTTCCCGACAGGCCGGGCGCCCTCACCGCCGACCCCGACCCCACAGTGTCTGCGCCCTCGTCTCTGCCTCCCTGGCACTACCTCTTCGTCTAGCCGCCGTCGTCTAGCCTACACTCCCAACCTTTGGGCAAGACCAGCCCCACCCACCTCCTCTGCCTTAGCCCTTGCCGCCATCACCCGGTAGCGCTTTCCCCACAGACTTCCTGCGACAACTTTTCCGAGTCTCCAGCTCACTTCCGTCAGCCAGCAGCCACAGGTTTCGGGACAAAGCCCCGCCCCTTTCTGCTTCCCCAGCTGAGGAACCAATCCCCTGGGCTGTATCCGACTGGGCCAGGCTTGGGCCCAGGCGCACTGAGTGGAGATACCAGGGCAGCGCGGCGGAATCGTCTGAGTAAGAGGGGTAAAAGGAAGAAAACGCCACCAAAAGTGTGAGAAAGCAACCCAGAGCACAGATTGTGCCCATCAAGTGCCCAAAGTAGGCCTACAGTCACCATCACAGCATCCTATATTAATCTTTGCGTGGCGGTACAACGCCCGGTACAACGGAAGCTCCAAGATAACAGGATCTATTTATGTCTTGTTCACAGCGGATTCCCTGTGCCCCGAACTGTTTGAATGAAGAAAGGAAGGAACCAATTGACTAAGGGTACTTGGGATCTCTTCCTCAAGCATCTCCGAGATGCAGAAAGATTTCTTGGATTAATGTGAGATTTTGACTTTCTTCTCAGAATTCTGCATAGGACACCATTTTTCATATATCTGTCCATTCATTCAGTAATGAACTGTATAATCATTCTCTATTTAACTCGTCTATCCTTTGGTTCATCATCTATGAAAAATAAATAGTAATACAATAGCCATGTTACAGAGTAGTTTGGGGACAAATTCGACAATATTTGTGAAATATCTGTGACTTGTGCCTGGCCCATGGCAAATGACCAATATACCAGTTGGGATTAGGTGTGTCCTCCTCCTAAGATGTCTTTAAATGTTTTTTTTCAGGGAAGCCCTAACCTTCACCACCTTAAGGGTCAGTTTCCTCTGTTACAGCTTTTCATACTTTCTTCTTTGTGGTGCCTACATAAATAATTATTAAATAAGCGTGGAACTGACTGTTTATTGCAGTTAATTTAAATGAGACAAGTTTCTTAACAACTATGAAAGCAGCAAATCTAGCAGTCATAAGCTTATATTTTTTCTACATTATGGATGATTTGACAAGAGCAGTTGTAACACGTATTTTTATTCTTTAGGAATACAGAAATGTCAGTTATTTTCAGTACGATCACTTAACCAGAATTACACGATTTGTAAAAATATTTTATCCGTCAAAGCCCTACATACTCAAACCAAGTAATTAAAGAGAGTTTAATAAAGGGACTGTTTACAGAATTGTAGACAGGGTTAAGAGAAGCCAACAAAAGAGTGAAGCATTCCAGGGCTAGCAACAAGAGGGAGCCATTGCTACCCCCAATCCTAAGGAGGAGGAGAAGGATAGGATAGGAGAAAGTCCTCAGACAGATGTGACTAAAGAAATGCAGCCAACCCATAATCCAGTCAGGGAATAGATATCCTGACCATTTATTCTCTTCTATTCTAGAAAGCATCACTTTCCCACTAAATCCACTTGTGAACTTTCTATTCTGTTCCTTTTTTTTTTTTTTGGTGGCCCATATGGGGACTGAACCCATGACCTTATTCTGTTCTGATTATGTGTCATTTTCTGTGCCAATGTTTTTACTGAAGTCTCTTACTAAGTTTTAATTCCTAGTAAAATAAGTTCCTTCTCATTTTTTTTTTTCCCAAAACTACTCTTGGCTGTTTCTGTAAAAAATTTTTAATTTTGGAATTGGAATTATATTAATATGATTCGAAGTATATATGTATATATATAGTAAATCCCCCAGATTGTCACTTATATTAGCTTCTTGCAAAGCAAAAATATGTTCTTAGTAACCCTAACCCTGCCCATTGCCTCCTAAATATAGCATACTACAACCATATACACAGTTCTGTACCTTTCATTTTTCATTTAGTATACTTTGGAGAACTTTCCAAATTAGTATACAGAGAGCTGCCCCATTGCTTATTTATTTATTTATTTTGGCTGTGCCGCGTGGCTTGTGGGATCTTAGATCCCCGACCAGGGACTGAACCCATGCCCCCTGCATTGGAAGCAGTGTCCTAACCACTGGACCGCCAGAGAATTCCCTGCCCCATTCCTTTTTACAGCTTCCCCCGAATGTACCATCATGTATTTAACTGGTTTTCTATTGACAGACATTTGAGTTGTTTCCAATTTTTTGCTTTTCAAAAAACTGAAATGAACAACCTTGTACATAAGTCAGTTTATGCCTGTGCAATTGTACCTGTAGGATAAATTCCCAGATAGCTGGGTCAAAGATTAGATGCCTTTGTAATTTTTATAGATATTGCCAAATTGCTCTCCCTAAGGGTTGTACCAATTTTCAGTCCTACTGAGACAGGCTGGGACCTGGGACCACAAGGAAACAATAAGGGACTAAAAATAACTGGGTACGTGAGCAGTTGGGGCAAATTATGAACCACACAATACAAAAAGGCCCAAAACCCAACTGCCACTTCTGAGATGTCAGGAGCAAAAGCAGTCTACTGCAGCATGATCCCTGAACACAGCACCACCAAGCAGGTGGGCAGACCACCTAAGCCAACCCTCTGGCCCAACCTGTGGATCCGCCCCTACCATTTAAAAGGAGCAGCTAGCGTGCCACCTCTCCACCACTCCCTCAGGGAGCTAACAAGGGCACCTGTTACTTGTTTTCACTCCCTCCTGCTGCAGCAAGAGTCCCAATTCAAGCCTTGCGTGAATTCCTCATCTGGCCTTATCAATTTCTATTGATTAAAGAGTCCAAGAACCCTGGTTGGTAACACTTCACAGTCTCACCGATAGTGTTTCACTGAACTTTTAGATTTTTGTCACAATGTTTTACAGTTCCAAAAAAACAAAAACAACCCACTGAGATTGATGGAATAATATTACATTCATACTCATTCGAGATACTCTTTTGTGATATTACATTTTTCTATTGTCTTCCAACCAGAAAATCCTTCATCACTTACTGAAATTTAATTTCTTTGTACTTTATTTCGTATTTTTCTCCATATTACTGTTTAAATCTTATACCCAGGTATCTTTTCATTTGGGGGATTACTTTTTCATTTCCACATCTAATTAATGGTTTTAGTGAAGAAAATTATTTTCATGTATTTCTCTTGTATCCAGCACCTTAACTGAATTATATTAACAACTTTAGCACTATTATTAATTCTGGCGCAGTTTCATCGCGGAGCACGGAAGAACGAACAGGATGGGACGGGTCCTGCTCTGCTGCAGTTTACAACGTCGTTGGGGTAAAAAGAAAACGAACAGACGAGAAAAACATCTTACATATATTAAAGAGAATGAAAATGGTACCATATGACAGTACTAAGGGCCTACGCGAGACAACGTAGTCAGGGGAGACCTGCCTCGGAGGAGGTGATACAGCTTAAGCGCTGAATGGAAAGCACTTTTCGCTCAAGGGTGCAGCAGAGTTAAGGTGACTTTCCACGAGCTTCCCAGGTCCACCATGCCTACCTAGCCTACCTCTGCCGAAACCCCCGCGCTTCTCTCTCAGCCTCCACCCTTCCGGCCCCCGCCTCTGCGGCCTTTTGCGGCTGCGCAAGGCCCTGCCCAATTGAAAACGTCTCACTGCCAAAAGGGGCAGGGATTGGTCCTAAATTCCTGAGGCTGACAGGAAGGGGCGGGTATTATAGTAGGTTATTAATCTGTATTGACGCTGCAGTCCGAAGGCCGGCGGAAGTGCTCTGGGTTGTTGCCGGAAGTGGGCGAGGAAAGGTTGTGATGGCGGCTGCGACTGTAGCAGAGAAGGTAAGTGCTGCCGGCTCTTTCCAGGGGTTTTAGTTGCGGAGGGCTCTGAGGGACGGCAAGGGCGAGAGGTGGAGGAGGTGCTTGTGTGCTGGGCCAGGAAGGCGCAGATACTTTGGGGCCTGGGTCGGCGGTGAGGGCCCGGCCTGGGCTGTCGGGACCCGCGGGTAATCCGCCTGGGTTCTCCGGGGAGAAGCCTAACCGGCCCCAACTCCAGTCTGTCCTCCGCCGCAGGTGCCGGTAGACGGCGCGGAAGAACAGCAGCCCCCTGCGGCGGCCGAGGAGCTGGCCGCCCAGAAGCGCGAACAGAGACTGCGCAAATTCCGGGAGCTGCACCTGAAGCGGGTGAGTCGCCCCAGAGGCCAGCTGAGACCTGTCACGTGGCCAGGCCCGTGCGCGTTTGGGGAGGGACGAGGAAGCCGCACCAGCGCGTGTGACAGAGTCGCAGAGCTTGATGAAAGTTCGGTCCCGGTGGTTCTCAACCTGGAAACACATTCTAGTCTCTTTTGGAAAGGGACATGCTTTCACCAAGCTTTCTTTCACCCCCGTCTGTTTTAACTTAGTTGGGCTAGTTTGGGGGTCTCTGTTACTAACCGCCTCCGTGCTGTATGATTCTAGTAAACTCTTCATTTTACCTAGGGAAATATGTGGAGCTAGAGACTGGAAGAAACTTGTCCAGTAAGAGAGCTGGTTGCCTCTTCATTCAAAAATAATCAGCAAATCTCGGGAAGTCTATAGTGTCAGTGGTTCAGCTAGTGGGTGGGGAACTAGATGAGTAAGTTAACTCCTCTGCTCTTAAGTAGAGGAGACGTTCTAGCTAGAAATTATATTGTGATAAATGCCATGCTTGAGTTAGGAACAAAGTGCCTTGGGAGTGCAGTGAAGGAGAGATTGGTATGGTTTAGGGGCCCCCAGGGAGTGCCTCGTATAAGAGGTGACAAGAGGTGACACCTAAAGTACTGCTATAAAGATGAGTAAGATGTTATCAGAAAAATAAAGAAGTTTGAGGAAGAAATATCTAAGCAGAGGGAACAAATGCAAAGGAAGAGAATTCATATCAAGGATAAGAGTCCAGCAAACAACTGGCTGCAGTTGGAGCTGAGAAACAAAAAAGCAGCTCTTGACTGTTTCACCTCAAAGGGGCCTGACTTGGCCATGGTTTCACAAAACTCCAACATCACTCTATCGCAGACAAAAACAAAACTGTTCAAACCACAGAAATGACCACACAGCACCCACTTCTGCTAACACCAGTGACAAATACAGCACTAGCTTCACTCCATTAGTCCTGCTTCCTGTATAAAAACTGAAGATACCCAATCATAGAATGCCATGGCTTTCTGACAGTGCCTAATCCAGGGCACAACCATGCTTCCTTGAACCTTTCCCTCCAGTCTCCTGATACAAACTCAAATCCTGTAAGTGGCTCCTCCTAACACCCTCTCACTGCAGTGCCTCCAGTTCCCCATGGTTTGCTGTTTCCTTCAATGCAATACACACAACTTTGTTTGACTACACATGTGTTCTTGGTGTCTTCAACTGGAGGGCATTGCCAGAGGCAAGAGTATGTGAGGGATGGCTGTTGAGAGGAATGTTCTGGGTTTTTCTCTTTACCCAGAAAAATTTAATAAAGAATTCAGCACACTTACATATTTACTTGGAGGGACTGTGTAAAGAACATGGGGTTGGATATTAAGAGACATGTCTTCCTGGACTAACGGCCACCAGCCTGTAACCCAAGAAACATCTAACTTAAGTTGTCCCTAAGATGGTATACTCATTTTGTTTTATGCAGTTATTTTAAAACAGACTCTACATACAGTAATTTAAATGGGAAATGCCTTTCATTTGACATGATGTAAACTGCTAAAATATCTAAAGAGGAGGGGGGACTTGGGAAAGGTTAGAGATATTATGATAGGTATTAAAGCCCCCAGCCCCAAATTGAGGCTGCTTCTTTGCATGTCAGGATTAAAAGAGAATTGAAAGTAGAATATCTTTCTCATAATGTGAGACATTAACGTCCAGGCCTTTGGCACAGCAAATCAGTGCAGCTCAACACATTTCTTGACTGTATACAAATGCAGACCTAATTAGGCCGTTTCCTTGCTTAAAATCCTCTGATGGTTCTCTTGCTTTTAGGGTAAAATGGAGTCCCCTTGTTAACGTGTCTTGACCTTCCTCAAAGAGGGAAATATTTGTTTGGATTTATTTTCATGTTTCAGCCAATATTGCCTTTTTGGGTTTATGGTTTTAGAATGAAGCTCGTAAATTAAATCACCAGGAAGTTGTTGAAGAAGATAAAAGACTTAAGTTACCTGCAAATTGGGAAGCCAAAAAAGCTCGTTTGGAATGGGAACTACAAGAAGAAGAAAAGAAAAAGGTTAGGAACTACTCCGCTGTTTTCATAAGTCGTTTATTCAATCTTTCTAGAGTATTAAGACAGTAAAAAATGCTTTTTACCAGCTGCCAAGCTTTGGGTGAGTAATTTAACCTCTCTGTGCCTATGTTTTCTCATCTGTAAAATGGAGCTTGTAATAATTATTTGAGTTAATTATGAATTAAATGAGTCAATGCATGTAAAACATTTAAAAAATGGTCTGACACCTGATAAATGTTGAGTAAGTATTATTTTTTAGATTGATGTACTCACTTCTTATACACCAGAGCAGATTATCAAATTTCCTTCAAATATTAATCATTATTTTTAATGTATTGCTTGATATCTTTATTTAAAATAGGTCAAATAGTTGCTTGAATCATTTGGGCAGGCATTAGCTTTCTTTCCTTTCTTTTTCAGGAATGTGCAGCAAGAGGGGAAGACTACGAGAAAGTGAAGTTGCTAGAGATCAGTGCAGAAGATGCAGAAAGATGGGAGAGGAAAAAGAGGAGGAAAAATCCCGACCTGGGATTTTCAGGTAAAACTCACCTTTACTTTATTGAATGAGCCTGTGAGGTAAGCGTTGCCTTCAGTGTTTCTGGTTTTAAGAAAGGATATACCCCTTCATGGAATATTCTCCAAGAGGCTTACTCCCAAGAAAAATACAAACATATCTCATAGGGCAGAAGTAAAAAAGGCTGTGCTTGAGGCAGCTGGATCCCTTTATTCATTGTGCTAAAATTAAAGCCTGTATTATTAGCATCTCCAGGATAGAGGCTCTGCTTAGATTAGTGCGTATATTGCTAATAATAATTTTGTTTTTTCTCTGAATAGTAATGACCAAACAAGGAAATATATCATTTCCGATTCTCATTTTATTTTTAGATTATGCTGCTGCCCAGCTTCGCCAGTACCATCGGCTGACCAAACAGATCAAACCAGACATGGAAACATATGAGAGACTGAGAGAAAAGCAGTAAGTTGACAGGACTAATGCCAGTCCTTTTTCATCCTGAAGTGATTTTTTTTTTTAAACATTACACTTTATTTATTTATTTATGAATTTATTTATTTTACTATTTTTGGCTGCTTTGGGTCTTTGTTGCTGTGCGCGGGCTTTCTCTAGTTGCGTCGAGCAGGGGCTGCACTTCATTGTGGTGCGCAGGCTTCTCATTGCGGTGGCTTCTCTTGTTGCGGAGCACAGGCTCTAGGCACGCAGGCTTCAGTAGTTGCAGCATGTGGGCTCAGTAGTTGTGGCTTGTGGGCTCTAGAGCACAGGCTCAGTAGTTAATGGTGCACAGGCTTAGTTGCTCCATGGCATGTGGGATCTTCCTGGACCAGGGCTCAAACCTGTGTCCCCTGCCTTGGCAGGTGGATTCTTAACCTCTGCGCCACCAGGGAAGCCCTTCTGAAGTGATATTGATGTACTTGTGCATGTATATAAACGTATATACATAAATACAAACAGACTGCAGTGCTTGGGTATGGGTTATCAACAGCTGTTTAAGAATAGTTTCTGGTCGTGATGACACTATTTATTGCCCATCCACAGCAGTTAAGCTAACCACCTGGTTATCTTTCTAGTGGGGCATTCTATGACTGGGTGTTGAGAGTTTAATGCCCAGATTATCATAGTCAGATATTTTGGGACGCAGAATGCTTTAGTGCCAGGATGGGTGAACTTCTGTAAAGGACCAGATAGTAAATATTTTAGGCTTTGTGGGCTATGTGGTCTCTGTCATAGCTACTCCACTCTGTCCTTGTGATGTGAAAGCAGCAGCAGCCTGTAGAGGAGATGTAAACAAACGGACTGTCTCCCAGTAAAACTGTTTATAGAAACATGCCGCAGTTTGTTGGCCTGCTGTAGTGGAAAGAGAAATATCCTGAGCCTAGAAGCAAGTCCTTTAACCTCTGGCCCTGGGCTCTTTCAGCTATAGAATGAAGGTGTTGGCGTAAGTGATTTCTTACTTCTGTCCCTTCCAATTCTGTGTTGTTTTTTTTAAAAGGTAAGGTAGGATCCCATAGTATGAAGATATGTATGTATTTTATCTCTCATTGTGAATGGTAGTTTAGTTTGAAAATGTGGAGCACTTGCCCTGTTACTCCAAGTCCCTGTTGCCATCTTTCCAGTGAAGAAGAGTTTTACCCAACATCGAACAGTCTTCTTCATGGGACACACGTGCCTTCCACAGAGGAAATTGATAGGATGGTCGTAGACCTGGAAAAACAGTGAGTACTCCATGTAGCAGCCTGAAATTTTAAACGTTTAATGACAAAATGGACATAATATGCTTAGAATGAATTGAGAAGACAGATGCTATACTTCCTAATTTCTGACCTGGCATCTCTAGTGGTTTTGGGGACACACAGTAAGGCTGGGTTGAGTCCCTATGATTTGGAATGAAGGTGCAAAATATTGATGGAATTGAGTTGTGATAATTGAAAATTATAAAGAAAATTATTCTTTAAGCAATTATTCTTGTTTTTACTTTAACAACCATTCCACTCTTTGATTTGAAGAAGTACAAATGTCCTAGTAAATCTATCTTTGTATATTTGTGTTTCTTAATACTGATAGGAGTGTGTTTCCTGATGCTGACCAGGCAGAGCAAAATGAATTTATATTATAGGAGCTAATACACTTAAGTATTAAGAATAGTGTCTAGTATACACTGTGTACTCTGCTCATACTAGCTGTGGTTACTATTAATATAATTCCTGTTGTAATCATTTTCTGTTAAGTGATACTTCATGTGTCCAGTTGCTAGCAGTGTAGCATTGCTCTTCTAGAAACATTCCAAAGATGAATTTGTATTTACTAAATTTCGTGGTTCATACCCAGGGTTGTGCTGTTAATTGGCAGTTTCAACTTCATCTTGATGAAACTGGGCTTCCCCCCGCCCCTTCCAAAGTGCTAGTCTTAAGTGTACTGATTCTATTCTATTTGGCCATGTTTTATTAAGATCAATAAAGAAGGCAGTTTTGAATTTTATAAATTATTTTCTTCTCCCAGAATTGAAAAACGAGACAAATATAGTCGGAGACGTCCCTATAATGATGATGCAGATATTGACTACATTAATGAAAGGAATGCCAAATTCAACAAGAAGGCAGAACGATTCTATGGGAAATATACAGCTGAAATTAAACAGAATTTGGAAAGAGGAACAGCTGTCTAATCCCTTCAGGAACTGTTTAGAAGCTTGAGAATGGAGTGAAAATTTCTACTAGCAAATTGAAGTTCTCTTCAGAGTTACACCAGTAAACCAGAACTTGGTCTATGCCTTCCCACTCAGCATTTAAAAATAAATGTTTTTTCTTAAACTTCTACTTTCATGTATATTTCCACATTTTTGTGCTTGGATATAAGATGTATTTCTTGTAATGTACTTGTTTTGTAAAAATCTACTTTGTATAAATTCTGTTATTTTTCTATGTATTTTAAATGTGTATGACTGGTGAATCTTTGAAGCATTTTGGCTTTACAAATGCTGGCAGCATACGTAAGTGCAGTCATTGTTACTTTGAATGTTTTTATGAATTTGACAAAATCTAGAGCTGGACTCAGGAACTATTTGGGGTTGTAGACTCTGAAGCTAAGGATGGTGATGAGGAAGGGGGCAGTGGCTGCTAGAGGGTGGGTATAGGCTCTACCCAGGCTGCTTAGGACCAAGTTCAGGAAGTAGCAGAACTGTCCTCCCATGAATACTGACTATGCACAGTTCCCTTTTAAAAAAGGAAATGTGGAATAGAATCCCTACTAAACAATTTATCATTTAAAACAAATATTTGTATTTGTACAATTATATATACACAAATATACATGCTTCCATTCCACAAACATTAAAACTTTTTCTATTATAGGAAATTCCAAACATACTCAAAAGAAGACAGAATAGTACGAGTCCCATATACCCAATGCCCATCTTCAATAATTATCAACTTAATGCCAGTCTTTGTTCTGTCTTTATTTCTATCCACTTTTCCCTGTATAACTCCTGTGTTATTTTGAAGCAAATACTAAATATATAATTTCATCTATAAATATTTCAGTATCTGAAAGATAAAAACTTAAAAAAGGCCACAGTACTATTATTGCAATAATAGTTTAATAAAAGTCAGGAGTGAGAGATTGGTATAATTTTTTTCTATGTGATGGTAACAATACTAAGTACCTAATTAGGACCTTCCAAATTAAGAAGAATCTGAAATGCAGAGAAAATTTCACAGATATTTCAGCTTTTGTGTTTAATGAACATTTAATACCACTGATAATTGTTCCCTTTTAAAATTTATGTAGTACTTGCTATTTCTGCCTTTATTTTGTTTCTTCTAGCATTTAATCTATGTGCAGTTAATCAGGTCTGATCATAGGGCCTTGATGCTGCCTCTGAAAATAAATGTTTCTTTTCCCATTTCCACAACTTCAGTTCAGGTCTTTAGTCCTAAGTATTGCAATAGCCTTAAACAAAATCATGTCAAGAAACATTGTCAAATAGAACCTGGCAAGGTATTTAAAAGAGTAATTCACTGTGAGACAGCAGGGTTTATTCTAAGAATGCAAGAGTAGCTTGTAGACGTGTTAGTTACCTGTCCAATATCAATTCTCTTCTTCATAACCAACCAAACCCTGATTTTTTTGGTGAATTTGTGGTAAAATTTCCAGCTAAACATTTGCTTCCCCAGACCAACTTGCTGTTACCGGTGGTCAAATGTTATGACTCTGGCTAATAAGACACAATCTAATTATTCTGAGAAATCTTTTGCTTCCCTGGTAAGGGAGTTGCCACTCCCTCCCCCTTCCTTCCAGCTTGGATCACATATGTGAGGCCTGGAGTTTTGGCAGCCATCTGTGCCATGAAGTAACAAGCATGAGGATAAAGTCAATGTGCTGAGGCGAGTGGAGAAGAGCTTGCATTCCTTTTGGCGTTGCTGAGCAGCTGCACCAGCACTGGACGCCTACCTCTCATCTTCCTGTTCCTCGCTGCTGAATAAATTTATGACCAATGCATATTTCAATTTCAGGACAAATGTTACATATACAAAAATCAATAGTTCTTTCTCCACTGTAGAAATAAATACATAGAAATGGAGATGGGAGGAAATAGTTACAATAGCAATAAAAGTAAGAATCTACTGAGACACAAATTTAATGAGAAGTCACAGGACCTACGTGAAGAAAATTTTAAAATCTAATGGAAGAATTAACAGGAGTATAACGAGTCACTCTGCTGTACAGCAGAGACTGGCACAACATTGTAAATCAACTATACTTCAAAAAAAAAAGAATTAAGACTTACTTCCAGCCAAGATGGAGTGACAGGATGGATTTACCTTGCCACTTGAAATTTTTAAAAACAGCAGTTTTCAAGATAATGGAAATCAAGCAAGGAAGGCCAATGGTTCCTAAGAGAGGAAACAAACAGGTGTAGCCCTATGATCACCTCAGCTTACTGTCTTTAGAGAACTTCCAGCCTGTGGCGCATGGCGGAAGAACCCAGGCAGAGCCCAGGGGCACCTTTCGTTGAGATAGAGCTGAAAGTCTGGGGACACCAGAGTGGCAAGATCTTACAGTACAGAGTGTTGGAGAGGTGGGAGCTGCACACAGAACTCTGAAAGTCCACAGAGGTCTCTTCAAGTATCAGGCAGAATACATGTGTGAGGAAATGACTTGAGGCTGAGGGGAGACTAGCACCTGGCCCTCATGTGTGACCAGGAATAGTGTTTTCCACCAGCTGAATTGGAAAACTTCATAATTCATGGAGTAGTATAGTGAGGTTTTGCCTCAGTAGTGGAGAATAATTAGTCCTAGACTAAACACTGCTTGTGTCTTGCCTAAAAATCTTAAAAGTTAAGACCTGAAAGAAACTTTCTGAATAATTTAACTACAGCCTAAAACAAAGATTAAGAATCATTGTAAAAAAAGAAATATCCAGTACCCAAAAACATCAAGTTCACAATGTCCAGCATCTAACAGAGAAACAGGAAAGTAGGACTCATAATGAGAAGAAAAATCAATCTAAACTTACCAAGAACTGACACAGATGTTTGAATTAAGAGAAAAATCAGGGAATTCCCTGGCAGTCAAGCGGTTAGGACTCTGCACTCTCAGTGCTGAGGGCCTGGATTCAATCCCTGGTTGGGGAACTAAGATCCCACAATCTGTGCAGTGTGGCCACCAAAAAAAAAAAAAAAAAAAAAAAAAAAAAAAAAAAAAACAGTTACTATAGCTGTACTCCACATGTTCAAGAAGTTAAGAAGAGACAGGAAGACATAAAAGACCTACATCGAACTTCTCAACATGAAAAGTACATGTCTGAGATGAAAAGTATACTGTATGGGCTTAATCGCAGATTAGACATCGTGAAAGAAAGTAGTAAACTTGGAGACACAGCAACAGAAACCTTCCAAAAGGCAACATAGAAAGTAAAAGAATTAAAAAGTGAACAGGGCATCAGTGAGATGTGGGACCCTATATGTGTAATTTGGATTTACCAAGCAGACACTGCTGACCATGGAAGGCTCTGGGTCTGAAGTCTGGTCTCTCTTTGTTCAAGTATGAGCAAATATGAGAGGCATTATGAAAGGCATATTAGCACCAAGCCTTTTCCTTGACATAGTCACAAGGTTGAGAAAGATTTGAAAAGGGTCTACCTGTCTCAGGGGTGCTCACCTGCGAGACACATCTTGCCCTTTGGAAAATGCTGTGCCAGCAGAATGGAGATGATTTATGTCAGTCCTTCCTAACCCATCCATGGGACTGATGAAATTGAGTGCCTAAAAAAGGAAGCGAGGCCTGTTTGGGGGGATGTAGAGGTTGTGGCTGGAGACAGAGGCAATGTGAGCAACCCCTCTTTGACCCCAACCTGACTGCTGCTGAGTCCCCATTAGCCATTGCTTATTCAGAGAGAGAAGGAGCAAACAGTGGTCCTGTGGCCCTGCTGCAGCAGTCCTGGAGGGGAATGCCCCTCTGACAGTGCTCCTTCCTACCCTCTCCTGCCCATCAGGGCAGAGCTGCCTCTCCACTGGCCCTTTGTCTTCAACACTGTGCTATCTCAGTGGGGACACCTTCCTCATTGGCTCATAATTCTCACTTGGCTCAACTGTGTTCTCATACTTGGGAAACCCAGTTGAATAGTTTTTGGCCAGGTGGTGAAGCTGACCATAACAAAATGATCTCTAATAGTTATAATTAATTGTGGTATAGCATAGTGTTTACAGCTGGCTCTGGAGTGAGTTTGCCCCCACTGGATTCCTCCTAAGGCCTTAGTGAAATGGGGGGGCGTTAATAGCAATAACCTCACAGGATTGTTGTTGGTACTAAATGGATAATCCATGCAAAGCACTTAGCGAGGTGGGCCGGTGCAGAGTAAATGCTTGTGCATGCTGGCAGTTCCTGTGGTCACCGTCATGTTCTCCAATGGGACTCTCCTTTCTCAGGGCAATAGACACTGTACAATAGCCATGAAAAGCATGGACTCAGGTGTCAATACAGTCTGGATTCAAATCTCAGTTCTTCCATTTACCAGGCAGAAGATCTTGGGCAAGTCACTTGCACTGTTCACTAGGGCTTCCACAACAGAATACTACAGACTAGGTGGCTTAAATTACAGAAATTTATTTGTTCACAGTGCTGGAGGCTGGAAGTCCAGGCTCAAGGTGCTGGCAGGGTTGGTTTCTGGCAAGGGCTCTCTCCTTGGCTTGCAGACAGCCACCTTCTTGCTGTCCTAATGGCATTTTCTCTATGCATGTGTATTCCTGGCGTCTCTGCCTCTTCTTATAAAAACACAAGTTGTATTGGATTAGGACCCCACCCTTATGACCTCATTTAACCTTAAGGACCTCCTTAAAGGCTCCATCGCCAAATCTAGTCAAATTGGGGGTTAGGGCTTCAGCATATGAATTTGGGGGGACACAATTCAGCCCATAACATCAACCACCTACTCTGTGCTTCAGTTTTCCCAGCTCTAAAACTTGTTAATAATGCCTACCTCTGAGGGTTGTTGGGAGGATTGAATGAGTGTAATATGCTTAGACATGTCTGGTGTATAGTGGGTACTATGTGAGTTATAATAGTAATAATGAAATGAATGCGTACTGTCCTCATGGATATTTCCTGTACTTTCCTCACTTCCAAATCAAGATAATACCAAATTGAACATTCAGAAATCTCCAAGGG